GTAACTCCATCTGCATTGCTTAGTGTGTGTCTGTCTGTGCATCTGAACAGAAGCACACTCAGAATGGGAATCACATTTTGTTGTTGGTAGTGTTGCTGCTGTTTTATTTCATAATGCCACATGGCTTTAAGCTTCTTTTTTTTAATTGGGGACTTGTACAACTCTTATCACAAGGGAATCAAATTTAATACTTGTATTTGAAGTCATAGTTGCTTTCTGAGTGACACTTGGCCTATTAGTTGGTTTCATCAAATTGCCGACCTGGAAGTACTAGAAGAAAAGTGGGGTTTTGCATGTGTGCTTGGTTGCAGGTAAACTCAGATCAACAAAGAGCTCTTCAATATATGCATTAGCGAAGTACTCATGATCTAATCTTTACCTGCCAGGCTATTTCTAAGAACACTTATTTCCATTGTTTTACTTTCTATAACAATAAGCAGATTAATGACATGTCTTCCTCGTGATTAAGTTATTTGCTCCTTTCCAGTTTTTGCAACTGAAGGAAAAATACTATGCTATTGAAGTTGATCCTGTCCTAACCTTAGACGAGAAGTATCCGTATATGGTCGAATGGTAAGTGTGTATCGGATGCTAGAGGGTTAGGAATAGATTAAAAAGATTGTTAGAGTTATATCTTAGAATTCCCTTCTTATTAATAGATTCATCAATTATCTAGTGAATTAGAGCAAAGAATTAAATATAAGAAAACAAAATCTAATTCTCTAATCACTTCACAGTCGGGTGAGGGAAGGGAGTTATTTGTTTTAAGATAAAGCTTGGTAGGAACAAATAAAGGTCCTTGGCTTAAATCTTAAATAAAATAAGCATATTAAAGAAAAAAGATACGAACAAGATGTACCTAAATATATGTAGAAAAAGAATTAGGACACCCAATTTGTGGAAGGCTGTGGATGGCAGAGGGAGCCCCAAACCCATCTGCAGAGTACCTGGTCAGATTGAGCTGCTGGCAGATCGCCTCTAGCCACAGGCAAAGGTCTGCAACAGCCTTACTGTCAAACATAGACCATTATAATCCTGATTATGCTGGATCAAACTTGATACTTGGTCAGTTGCACCTGAATTAGTTCTAGGTGCAAGGATCTCTTGCTTGTTTCATGACAAAAACTTCTTACCTATCTTTTACAATATTGATGGTTATGCTTTTTTAACTCATTGTTTGTATTTTTATCTTTTTATTACTATTGTTTTATCTTTATCACTTCCACAAAAAAAGAATTAGGATTTTTAATTGAGTCTGAATGTGTTTGGAGTTCAC